TCTAAACTGTTGGTAGCTCAATTTTTGTGTTTTGATATTGAAATTACGGATTGTTCAATCATGGATCATTCCAAAACTTATAAGCTGGGCAAAACTATTTTCAACAAATTCAGCAGGTGATGGGTTAAGAATGAATTGCTTTTACCTTCAGCAGGGTCTTCCGTAATGTCCTTGAAGTCTATTGAGACTCTAACCTGATAATGGCTCGCCACAATTCCCAACCAAATCCTGGGATGTTTCATCAACCCTTGCCACACTTAATATCATGAAATGGACTTTCAATTGTCCATCTTTAAGTCTGGGTTAAATTTTTCATGGATAATTTTAAGGAATTTTTCATTGAATTATTATTATACTGAATGAATAGTGAAAAGTACGGACCATGATCAGATGGCATGAATACAGACTTTGGCCCCCAGCATACCAAGAGTGATTTTACAAATTCAGCATTTGTGGCCTAAATTTAATAGGAGTTAACCAGTTACTGCACTAAAGGTGACACAGTGCAAGTGTTCATGATGAATTTAGAAAAAAAACAACATTTCAGCAACTTTAACATTGAAAATGAAAATTCATGCTTAGAGAATGATTAATGATGAAGCGGTAACTGTAACTGTGTCATAGTTTGCAAAATTTTGCAAAATCACTTTGTTGTTGCAAGGCATATTTACAATGCAGTCTCTGTTTTTGTAGTTTATGTTATGTGCATTGTCTGCGTAATTGTGCACATTGTTAAATTCTCTCTCTGCCATACTGAATATAGCTTCACCTGTTTTGAAAAGACCTCATTGCAGAGAGAAAGCAATCATTTTATATGAGCCGCGTCATGACAAAACCAACATAGTGGGTTTGCGACCAGCATGGATCCAGACCAGGCTGCGCATTGGCGCAGTCTGATCAGGATCCATGCTGTTCGCTTACAAACCCTATAACAAGTAGGGAAACTGATAGCGAACAGCATGGATCCTGATCAGACTGCGCGGATGCGCAGGCTGGTCTGGATCCATGCTGGTCGCAAACCCATTATGTTGGTTTTGTCGTGACGCGGCTCATATGATGTTAATATTTATGGCATTTGTATGCAATATATAACATAAAACCTTTTGCGATGTAAATTTTAAAATGTTAAATTCTGGCAAAAAACACTTGTTTGTCAAGTCACAGACATGTGTAGCATAATTTTATTTTATTAATAATAATAAAAAAAAATTCTGATGATTTAGATAATTATTTTAATTTTGTGGTGATCATGTAGCTTTAGAATTAAAAAACTACTAAGTCAGCTACTTAGTGGTGAATTAAGGCCATTAACTTCCAATCCATTGGGTGTACTCTTCATAACAGATATTTTATTCTTTTAGATGTAAGGGAGCTAACTAGCTTTTCTTTAGTATGACTCAATATCATTCAATTTGCAAATGGAGTGAAGTTTGTCTAAAGGAGACCACTGCTGCTAATAAGTGCTAATAAAGAATGAGTTGAATATGAAAATAATACTCTACTCAGCTCAATGTTGGTATTTTGCAAATTGTATCAAATATAACATTTGCTGGTAGGAAAGAACGTAAAAACTATGTTTTATTCTTATTAGATGCCCATGGTCGTTGACTTCCAACCATTTGCCCATCACCACTGTGAATTCAAATCTCACCCGCCATTTTAATTTTTTTTAAGTGAGGATGCTTAGCTTATTGAACATCAATGGTTCTACACAATGACATAATGACTAATTTTGCCTGAAATAATGTAATGAGGGGCACTTGACCAGGTAAAGCTGGAATGTCGCTACAGTAGAGTCTGTGTGACTTAAAACCCAACAACAGCAACAACAATAAAGTTTACCCTCTTAAAAGTATAACAATATTTTCAAATGTTTTTGTGTTTTATCATCTTTTGATATGTTTTATATATTATATACATTTATATACATAATTATGTACATGTTTAATATAGAAAAACATGCTTTCCCTGTTTCTGGAGCAAACACAAAGACTTAAAATGAAAAAGATTTTAAGTAGTTATAGTTTGGCTGCCATTTTATAGACTATCTGTGTAGGATCTGCGCCTCACATTGTGATGGGTCATTAATGTTGTTTTGAATAGAATGATTGCGTCTTTCCACTTATATAACAACAGGATGTATCAATTATTATAAGTGTATAATAATATTATCAGTAGGAGAAAAGACACTACATTACATGTCCTTGACAGAGGTCGTGGAAATGAGCGCAGCTTCTTGTTCTGGGAACTGCAGCTAAAGTCAAGAGGCCTAGGGAACGTACTATCCTCATAAAAGGTGTCAATTTCTGTTTCTAATTGAACACGTCACTCCATTTGAAGTGATTTTTAATCTGAAAGTACATTTCTCTTATTTGAGATATTGTTAAAACGCCTTGTAATGTTTCATAGTGACCTAATCCCACAAACTCACTGTCACAAATGGTGTTTCCGAATTCAAAGAAGGATTGACAAGTCAACATACAAATCCCATTGGGTATTCAGGTCAAAGGCATTTCCAGAGTTGACTTGATATTTTTACTTATTTTGATTAGGAAGAAAAGAAAGTTTCGCCTTAAGGAGCTTGCTGTATGATACAATTGTACACATTTACAAATTAAAAAGTTAAGTGCACTTTTCCCTTTTGTACTTGTAATAGTACAACAATAACATGAAGAGATGAAAAGAATAAAGCAGGTCTGTTTATTGATCAAGGTTGAGCGAAACTCTGACCTTGTCTTATTGATGACCCTCATTTCAATCAGTCGAGCCCTAATTAACAACGAAAGTGACCTAGATTTGACCTTGTTTGGTTCATTAAATCCTTGCAAATTGACTATAGGAAACTGGTTGGCTATATTTGTTGTTGAGAAAAGGTCATTGAGTCAGATCAGTGAATGTCAGACAGTAATTGGTTTTGATGCCCTAAGTTTATGACAGTTTGCACTGTCTTTGAACTGTTTAAAAGTGTCGAAAAGTGTTTAATGTGGTCAATTTGCATCTCTTAATTCAGCGTGATGGTGTTTTTTTAGCCATTTTTATTTACCAATTTTTTTTCTATTTTTAATTAGAATTGTAAGTGGCCGTGAAAGTATGGAAAGGGCATTCTGTTGCATTAAACTGCATCCAGTAGAAGTCTAGTCTATTTAATCCTTTTAATATTCAGCAAACTGGAGAATTCCAAAGTAGATCAGGTAGAATACTAGATCTTGAACTATCAAAATGGGGTCATTTATTATGTGTCAATGCTATAAATGAGCCACATAACAGGCAAGGGATTGGTGCTATAGTTTGTTTAATTCCCATTACTTCTGTGAACAGTGACAGTTATAATATTAAAATCAAAAATAAAAGAATAGCCTGTGACCTCTTTTCGTTAGTTTCGGTCATCTGACGAAATAGACGGTTTAAACTGTAGCCGGTTTAAACTGTAACCGTGCACACATGCACATATAAAGTTAGTGGGTGTATATAGGCGGGGAATGTGTATCTAACAGAACAAATACTGTACTACAACAGTTTCAACATTATCTAATCCTAATGTAAATCAATGTTTGCGGTCTCTACGTCTCTACCATGATCATAGGCGTAAAGTACATATTCATGATATTTTCATGTTACTAAAAATAGATTTATCGCATGAGGATATAATTCGTATGATAGAGAGTGTGTGTGGAATGATTCATGTCAAGGAAAGATCTCGCCTTTTATTGCGCCAGTGGCCTGGATTTTACAGTCGTTACTTGATAATGTCAATGTTGTGTCTGGAAAGATAATTTGCATTGTTTAATCATATAAACTAATTAATAAAAAAAGTAATTTATAATTATAAACTGCTGTGAAAGAAAAAGAGAAGAAATTTAAAGGTTTTGAATTTGTTTCCATGAAGTCAGATATGGTTATTTATACGGGTATATACTTTTAAAATTTTATGTACTTTTTAGGGAATTATTGTGTCAAATGATTTTAAAATGAAGAAAGAAAAAGTAAATGATAAAATTTGAGGCTGATTATTATTTCATTTTAGTATAAATACACACAATAAATAATAAACATTGTATCTAATAAATTTTTATGTGACTCAGAATTAATACTCTTTTTAGTTATTTCAGCTAAATTAAGGGAATTCAAAACTTGATTATTGAATTGGACCATCACTTTTATTTTATTGGATCATTTTATCATTTATCACCATTTTTTTTTTTCACATTTGCTACCATTATATCTTAAATAGTAATCACAGTGAGCCTTTAACTTTTAACAATCTTCTTTCAAATAATGACAATATTTATATAATGAATATTATTTCATTCTGTTGCTATGACAACAATATTGTTGCTGTAGCAATAAAAAAGAATGACATAAAAATGAGGATTGTGGTAATTTTGAATACTTACTATTAAAATTTCTAAAAAATATCTATTAATAATATTTCTTAAATCAGTTGATAAGAACCCGGGTGTAAAAAGTCCATGCTTTTCCAGGGATTTCCATGGAAAATAGGAGGCTGGAGTATTGGAACAAAATTTTCCAGCCTTTTCCAGCCTGAAGCTGAGAAAAAATGGGCTGGAAAAACAGGGAAAAAACATGGAACATTTTCCATGCTGCATGGAATAATTTCCATGCTTTCCATGGAAAAGCATGGACTTTATTCCATGCTTTTCCATGTACATGGAGTATTGGAACAAAAGCATGGATTTTTTTCCAGGGTATCCAATGTGTCTGCCAACCATAGAGGCTGGACTTTTTACCATGGTAAATAGTCCAGCTTTGATGGAATAACATGGAAAAAAATCCAGCCTAATTCCAGCATCCCTGAATGTTCTTAAAATGTAAAATTCTCTGACGGAATTCAGCACAGGAATGTTTGGGGTGCAATTTTTATTTGTTTAACATGATCACATATTTCTTTCACAAAATTTAATACATATCCTTTTGTCCAAAAACAGAATAGAACATCCTACATTCACTATAGCACAAACAGTTTTTTTACTAGCTGCATGTTTGGTAAGTTCTGGTTGTCTTAAAAATTTTAGCAATTATTTTGCTCTTAATCTGTCAATGAGAAACCTTTTTTAATCTTGAATTTGTTTCAAGTGTTTCTGATTATTTAAATTACTATTTCTTTTATTGATGTCCATTTTCAGTCCTCTGCCTGTGTTTCCTAGAACTTCTTGTGGTTGTGCTCACCTTTAAAGATAAAATTCATAATAAATTTAACACAGATATGGTAATGACTTATTTTTATATTGCATATAAATATTATGCAGTTATATTTCGTATCTTTTAGTAACATCAAATCTAATGTTTCAACAGTATTTACTATTAAATATTCACTTATAATGCTTATGCAAAAATACTAAAGCAATGCAGTATATCTTATTTCAAAGTGCACAAGTGTTTCACAGTACATGTATAAGAATTAAGTAAATTTGTGACAATATTTATCACCCAGTATGTATTTTTTCAAGAAAAGACATGGATTAAAAAAGTACACGTATTGAGATTTAAAAATATACCTTTTCAGGATTAATACTGCACATCATTATTTAACACTGTTGGTAATTCTCACAGTCAGCACTTATGTCCCAGCCTGCAAGTTATGTAATTGTATAATGTAATCATTGAAAACACAACACATACATGTAAATAACAAATGATTATCATATGATGACCCTGTTCAGCTGTACAAAACTACTGATTCTATTTAATCAAATTGATTTAATTTGTTTTATTTGTAGGAAATGAAAAAGATCTACTAACAATTGTCATTTTAACAATATACATTATAAAGAAATCATTGAATAATTTATATTTTACAGATTATACATGTATAGATTAAAAACAATTATCAGAAAAACAAATGCATGAAGTTGAAAATATAAAAACAACCTTGATCTCTTGTTACAAATGTTGATAGTTTGATATATAACCTGTTTCTGCATTGATGTAACTTAAGGTTTATAAATACCTGATTCTGTTGTATATCTCTTTGTCCCAGGTGATTCTAATTGTTATCATACCAATACTTAAACACTTTAAAGTCTTAAACAAAACAATATCTCCAAAACTGCTAAAATATCAAGTACATCCTCTGTAATTTGCACTCTTTGCTGACCCAGATATCTTAGAATTCAAAATTTACAACAGTTACTGGACAGGTCTATCATTATGTAAAGCAGGGTTAATCTACTCATCATTTTAACTTCTATTCTTTGAGCGTAAAAGAAAATATCAAATAGCTAATAGATATATAGATTTTAAAGATCATTACAAATTTTTGTACGAAAAAGATTGTCCTTCTAGACACATTCTGCATATGAAATTTATAATGTTATCTCTCCCCAAAATAATCACATGGAACAGCCTGATCTGAAATGACCAGTGGAGTAAATTAGTCATGCACAGATGGTTAGAAAATGCTGGTCAATGAGTTTTATCAGAGCTCTGATCTGTGTAGCGTAAAATCTCAGTGGATGTAGGATTTATTTTCCTAAATATTGGTCAATTTAATATAGAATATATATGAGATTCTTTCATGCACTGTGTTTTGTTTTGTTTATTTATTTATTTATTGTTATCCAAAAACATGAATTCTTACAATTTAAAAATGGCAAGCAATGCAATCCCATCTTGATTATTATAGTGATATTATTTCATTGTACATAACTTCATGTAGATTTATTTAAATAATAATATGTATTTTGAACAATCAATTCATTTATGTCTTTAGCATAGACATTTTTTCTGAGATACCTTTTTTCAACTACATAAAAAGTATAAAGTGTCAAATTTCAAATTATTTACAGTAACTTGCATTAAAATAAATGATGATTGTATATTTTCTTCGTAAATTTACAATATTGAGCTGAATATATAAAGTAAGATTTCTTGTTGTAATTTTTACAAGTTTTTTCCAGCATACTTAGAGAAAGTTTAACACATTTCCAGCATCAAAAAAATCTAAGTTCCACTTTCCATGCTACATGGAAGTAAAGTCCATGGTTTTCCAGGCTTTTACCACAAATGTCCAGCCAATTTCCAGCCTATTCCAGCAATGCTGGAAATGGCTGGACAAAAAAAGTCCACATAGCATGGAAAAAATACCAATTTTCCATGAATTTCCATGAAATTCCATGCTTTTCCATAGTTTTCCAGGGTTTACCAGCCTCTCTTCCAGGCTTACCCTGGAAAATCTACACCCGGGTAACAATTTGGACAATATTTATACAGACTCATATTATTACATTTATGTGTATTATATTTATTAAAACATGATTGATGTTCCTTGTGCAGTGTTAAAATAAATAATAATATCTAAGAAATAAACTCCATATTTTCAATATTTTCGGTAGCTCTTTCAATGCTTTCTAAACATATCTTCAGTTAAATTATTTTTATTAAAATATGCGGCTGAAGATATGCTAAGAAAGCATTGAAAGCGCTATTGAAAATATGAAAATATGTTTGTTTTTTCTTAAATATTATTATTTATATATACATGTATATGATATGTTAAGTAACATGATCGATCTTTAAATAGGATTTTATTGCTTGACAAGGAGTCTTGTTTTGCCAAATATTTCATTTAAACATCATTTGGCATTTTCATCAAAAGACTTATAATGAAATGGGACTATCTGACTATCTATGTTTGAAGACCCTCCCACAGGCAGTATGTCACCTTAAAAGTCTTCCGTTTGGGTGATAAAATCATTTAAGTTTGCATTGATTAGACACATGAAAGCATGTCCTTGTATTGATGAACCGCTCATGTTTTACCAATTAATACATATATCCTTTTTTGCTTCCAGTTACATAATGACTTTTCAGGCACAGATGTGTGTTAATTGCTTTTTATATCTATTGAATATATCAGTCTGCATATTTATTGGGAAGTAACAAAACAAAAAAGTAACTGTGGGCAGGGATTTGAATTCATGCCAGTTAGTGTGGGCAGGAAAAAGTCCTAAAATTGAATTAATTTTCATACCTGTTTTACATATATGTGGTTTCAGTTACCTGTGTCTTTGTGTTTTTGTCAGTGTATCTTTTTAATGAAATCCCGTCTCATAGCATGCTAGCCGCAACTGAATCTACCCATGCCACCAGTCAATTAGTACATATTTTGAATTTTTTTTCCCTAAAATGATGAATGATTTTCCCCAGATTGAAAGATAGACAAGTCCATTTAAAACTTTTAGCGGGATAAGACTTAAATAACAATTAGCTTTATCCAACATAACTATGTGATTCTGCAAGAACCTTGGCTTAAAAATCTATGCAACTCCAATAAAATGCGCCCACCATATTGCCATAATATTTACTACCAGCAATTTCCTTATATCCTTTGGATATTTATAATTGATATGTGTCTATATTAGTAAGATATACCTATAGATATTTATATACACAGTCAATAAAATATATGAAAAAAGACAAATAAAAATGACCATAAAATTATACAAAGCAACAAGTACAGTAATCGACTGAACATTTTTATCAATCTATGGGGACTCTTGTTACTGTAATTTCCGTCTGCTGCCCAGTTATTTATTGTAGAAATTAACAGTGAACCATTCTAAATTGAAAGCAGTGTAATAATGCTGATATATTACATGTAAAAGCAGAGATATTGTGTCATCATTGGTGATTATTAAATTATTATAATAATTATAGTCTGGTCCTATATGGAGCTACCTGATGCATTACGACCATGATTCACATGGCAATAAATGGTGAAACTCGTATTGTTTTGTGTGAAACCTCGGCTGAGTCGGGGCTTAGCATGTGGTCATTTTGAAATGGTTTTAAGCTGTCTGTGTGACAAATAAAACCAACAGATATTGTCATTTTTAGCTCGACTATTCGAAGAATATGAGAGCTATTGTAGTCGAGGCGTCGGCGTCAGCGTCCACGTCGGCGTCTGCGTTGGTTAAAGTTTTTTGTAAAGTCAAATATCTCAATTATTACTTGAGATATTCAATTGAAACTTACAATACTTATTTATAGTAACAAGGTACATCAGATTGACAAGTTGGATAACTCTGCCTACAATATTGACAGAATTATGCCCCTTTTTAACTTAGAAATTTTGGTTAAAGTTTTTTGTAAAGTCAAATATTTCAATTATTGCTTGAGATATTCAATTGAAACTTACAATACTTATTTATAGTAACAAGGTACATGAGATTGACAAGTTGGATAACTCTGCCTACAATATTGACAGAATTATGCCCCTTTTTTACTTAGAAATTTTAGTTAAAGTTTTTTGTAAAGTCAAATATCTCAATTATTGCTTGAGATATTCAATTGAAACTAACAATACTTATTTATAGTAACAAGGTACATCAGATTGACAAGTTGGATAACTCTGCTTACAATATTGACAGAATTATTCCCCTTTGGAACTTAGAAATTTTGGTTAAAGTTTTTTTTAGTAAAGTCAAATATCTCAATTATTGCTTGAGATATTCAATTGAAATTTAAAATACTTTTTTATAGTAACAATGTACATCAGTTTGCAAAATTGCATAACTCTATCTGCAATATTTGCAGAATTATTTACCCCTTTGAAACTTAGAAATTTTGGTTAAAGGTTAATGGTCTTCAAAGATATTTACTTGAAACTTTACACATGCACTTAGGGTCATAATTGGAGGGTCATAATTGTATGTCACTGACCAAGTTCCATAACTCTATCTTGCATTAAGGCTGATTCATATCCCCTTTTCTACTTAGTCTCTTGGTTAATGTTTACATGCAAGTTTTACATATCTCAATAACTATTAAAGATATTTATTTAAAACTTCACATATGCATTTAGGGTCATAATTGTAGGTCACTGACAAAGATCCATAATTCTATCTTGCATTTAGGCTGATTTTTCTCCCCTTTTTCAACTTAGAAATTCATGATAAAGTTTTGCTTGTAAGCTGTTATCTCAATAACTACTGAAGAGTTTGTGCCTTTTTTTGGATAATTTTATGCATTCATAATAATAAAGTAGTGATTTACTTGATAAAACATCTTAATAACAAGCCTTTGTACCTTTTCTGTCAACTTTATGTATTCATAGGTAATTAGTATTATTATACTCAATAAAAAACCCTTGTGACATTACCTTCCGAATAGTCAACCCAATTCTGTATAATTAGACTCTCTCTAAGGCCTATAACATGAATTTATAAAAAAAAATAGCCCTTTTGTGAACTTAAAAAATTTAACAATATCAAGGCTCTTTTACTATCAAGCACTTAGAATAGTCGAGCATGCTGTCCTACAGACAGCTCTTGTTATCCTTTCTCAGCCAGCTTGCCCTGGAATTATTAACTCTATTATAGAAAAACAGTATTAGGCCATAACTAAATTGAATTGGTGTTTGTCAATATTTTTCCTTAATATTGATTAAGAGGCAAGCAAAAAACATAAATTAAGCAAAAAAGATTAAAAAAAAAGTTGTATATTGATACTTTGCAGATAAAATATAGAGTAACAAAACTGACAAACAAAATGATTTTTAGTTTTTGTTTGACCATGATTATGAAGTTATATTTTTAAATAAATCTCCATTTTTTTCTGCTTTCAGTTCCTGGTCCAAAGACGAGCCCGGTCAACAACAATTTGAAATGTTTGGTGTGTGGTGACAAGTCGTCTGGTATACACTATGGCGTGTTGGCATGCGAGGGATGTAAAGGGTTTTTCCGACGGGCTTTACAAGATGTCGGAGATCCGGCACGGAAGAAATGTTTCTACAACAAGAACTGTGACATTACAATATTGACGCGGAACCGATGTCAGTACTGCAGACTACAGAAATGTCTAGCTCTAGGGATGTCACGCTCCGGTAAGCAATAAATCCGCTTAACAATATAAACAATATGTATTTTGTAGAGATCATTTGCAGGCTGTTGATAGATGCATTTACAATTGCGCAAGCATTTACCCATCTGCTTATCTGTCTAGAGATTTAAAAAAAGATTTCCGTTCCTTTCAGAGACTTTGATTGTCGAAACAGATGTAAGAAAATATTTTTTTGTGTTGAATTTACATTAATTACATCTCCTTGAAGCTTTTATACTTACCTGACAAAAGATTTTTTTTTCAACATCTGAAATATGCAGATTTTGTTTAATATGACGTCACATGATTCTTGCTGTGTCACATGCAGCACAAACCGTAATGAGACAGGATCATGATAAACAAATCAGGCTAATAATAGATTTTGATTTATCAACGGTTGTTTTTCAGAAAGTACAAGTAACATATTTAGCTGTGCTGTATGTGATATTTTCTGATTCTCAATACTGCACTAAAAGGTCTTTGAAGTCTCAAGGTTACGGTCCGAATTAAAATCACGATATTCTTCCAGCTGTCTCAACTCATTTTTAGACTAGAAAACAAAGTAGGATGTTTAAAACAAAAGGGAGAGAATTGGATTTCTCTGTGACAATTGATCACAAACAGATTCTAAATCTAATGGTCATTTGTCGTTCATCCCTGATTCAAAAATCATGTGGGATTAGAAGTTTGTCACTTGCGGAAAAATTGATAATTACTCATTAGTTATCCAGGAAAGCCCGTTTAAGGTGGACTGACCATCGAGATATGACCAAAACTTAAAATGAGCCGCGTCATGACAAAACCAACATAGTGTGTTTGCGACCAGTATGGATCTAGACCAGCTTGCGCATCCGCGCAGTCTGATCAGGATCCACGCTGTTCACTATCAGTTTCTCTACTTGTAATAGGGTAAGTAAGCGAACAGTATGGATCCTGATCAGACTGCGAGGAAGCACAGGCTGGTCTGGATCCATGCTGGTCGCAAACCCATTATGTTGGTTTTGTCATGACACGGCTCAAATCAGCTTAAAAACCAGATAAACAAACATACAACAATTTTTAACGATAACCTCTGATAAAAAAGCTGGTGTTATTGTTCGTTTTCCTGAGAATGCATGTTTCTAGTTGCCCAAAACACAATTTTCATCAAGAATAAAAGTAAGCTTTCACCTGATGTTGCCTTTTCTTATTCATGAAGTGTAACTCGGTACATTTTGTTGCCAGTCTGTTTTCGATCGAAGAGCCGACTGTAACCAAAACAATCCCCTTTTGAAATAGTTGTTAAGATGTTGATTATTTTCTCAAACTCTCTAACATGCTATGTAAAAAACCTGAAGCATTTCGCTTGCATTTCCATTTGTGCGTTAGACTGCATGTGCTAAAGGGCTTGAATTATTTATCATACTGCCTCATTTTCAAAATCTGGAGCAAATTATGTTGCCGGCTAAATTGATTGATTTTCTCTGATTCAATATCCAGACTATTTCATTAGAAATTATTATGATTTAAGACAGTTTTGGGAAATTAGTTGCAAGGAGATAAAATAGTTTTTCGTTTATGTGGGCAAAACTACAGTCTCAATCAATCTCGGGTAGACAGTAGCAAAAGGAATAAAATAGATGCCCCTGGTAGAGTTTGCAAGTTTAACTTGTCATCGGCTGAGAAAATGGTTTTATTTATGGATGTCTAAGTCGATAAATAAAGATGAATAACAACTGTTTCTAAATCAGTATTGGCGTATTTATCTCTGGTATACTGGAAAAGGTAACATGCCTGATATTTGCCCTCTACATTATATAAGATATTTTATCTTGTATACCATCAGTGTGATTATTTTTCTGTAATTATTCCCTCTTTGCAATCAATCTGCAGTAGAAAATAAAACGGTGAACTTTCCATAATCATTATTTACTTAGATATATATTGACATTTAAATGAAGAAGGAGAGACATGATTAAGATGAGGTATTTAAAGCGATGATAATAATAATACATTGAGATATAGATCACTGTGTTATACCACAGTTATATACAGTATATATGAATCATGTGGCTATATTGAGGGTTTTTGCCGACATATGGTAAGATCCCAGACTTCAAACCTCATAAACCTGCCTGGTCTCAATGGCAGAGGAGATAAAGTCACTGAACTTCTGTGGGTTCAAATCTTGTCAAGAACTTGAATGTGAGGAATCAATCCAGCTAGCTTGCTAAAGGTTATTGGTTCTTTGCAAGTGTCTGCTGAGTCTGAAATAATACACAGAAAACTCCACCCATCTTACACACTGCAGGTTTGAATTTTGCGAGAAATACCAAATTCATTCACTTTAGGAATATAATCAACTAGCTTACAGAAGGTCAGTGGTTCTACTCTAGTGTAAATAAGGCAACATGAGGTCGTCCTCCACCAACAAGACATAGCAATGTTGAATAGGTTTTTAACCCAACCAAATTTTAATATCTAAAGTTTAATGCCAAAATTATAATTTGACTACAGTATATCTGTAGGATCTTTCACCTAAAACAAAAGTTAAAAACAAACAGACATAAAATCTTGATCCATATGGTTGTGGCAGTTTAATACATACACTTACAATTATTGCATACAAAAAAAAGTCAATGAGCCAATATTGCACCTTGTAGTACTCCTTAAAAAACTGTAACTTATCTATATTATTTTGTGTCTGAAATTGTTGTACCAAAGGTTTTCTGGGAGTCACAAAATTGGCTTCTATTTTATGAAGATTATATGAGCTGTTCGCTATCAGTTTCTCTACTTATTATAGGGTTTGTAAGGGAACAGCATGGATCCTGATCAGACTGCGCGGATGCATCTGCATCCATGCTGGTCGCAAACCCATTATGTTGGTTTTGTCATGACAAGGCTCATATTTTCATATACTTCAATAATTGGTGCAGACAAACAATAAACATAATGTTTGTGTCTTAACATAGACTCTATGTCCTTATGAACTTCATCACAAAGTGCATTTTGCTAGAGGGGATGCATTCTCATTGAAATTTTGTGTAACAGATATTACATCTTTGTAAAATATCAAACTCATTTAACCCAAAATTTACACACAATTCCTGAGGTTCATTTTAACGTGATTAAAATACAAAAGAGTGAAACAAATTTTTAAAAATTGTCTTTTGAGAATTTATAGGATTATGATATATCAGCAAAACAATTAACTCATATATAGTCCAGTAAGTTATTGTTTTTAGTTTGAACCTGCAAAATACATGTGTTTTTTCAGAAATAATTTTGTTAAGGCTTAAGTTATAGTGGAAGTATTAGTAAATGTATTCTTTTTTTGTATTTTCAGCTGCAAAACTGGGAAGACGTTCAAGAAAGATGCGAGATTTAATTCGCAGTATAGAAGACAAGCAGACAGAGCAAGCTCTCCATGGCCTACTGAGTCTAAATTCTGACAACGAGACCCCCCTGATTATACATGGTCTTAACGCAAATGGTGTTGACATAAATAGGCAAGAAATCAATCAAATGTCAGTTACTGCCCTTCAAATCCTGCTTAAACAAAGAGCTGAATGTGGGCCTAACTATCCGAGGCAAAGACATATGCCAACCCCACCTAGACATGACAGCCCTAAAATGGACGGCCCACCCCCTAGTCATGCACCCCATACTCAACTGACAGGTACAGATGGTGATCAGCCACTAGATTTGTCGGATGAGTCCAATCTCTCCGCAAATCAAGACCCGCAACTTTCTGCCATTCGTACAACACTGCCCCTTAATTTAATCAGCACATCTTCCAGGGCTCAAGTGATGAGCTCCATTCTCAATATGCAGTCTCAATTGCCATTCCATTTACCACCATCACCACTTGCTATTAAGACAGAGGATGGTTTGATCGAGGAAAGAAGGTCACCATATTTACCCATGTTTGACCCTGCCCTCATTGCAGCAACGAGAAGTAGTCCAAGTACTTTGACCCAACAGAATATCATGGCCCAGCAGCTAGCCGTTCAGCAACAACTTGCCGCAGCCAGACACCTAATGGTTCAACACCAGTTGGCAAGTAGTGGCAATTCTAGTTTTAGCAACTTGCCAACTGGTTTGATGTCATCAGCTGCCATGATGTCTGTCGAAGGTGATAATGAAGAGGATCAAATGGACCGATCCAGCAGTAGCCCATCATCCAAATCTGTGATTGTTCAACATACTAGTCTAGATCTGAGAAAAGTGATAAAAGAAGAGGAGAGTATAAAGCACAGTAGAAGTCCTATCAAGAAACGTCCCTATGTGCCATCCACCAGCTCTGAGTGCAACGACGATGATCCAGAGGTTGTGTACAAACATTCCCGCTTAAGTACAGACAGCTCATCATCATCCAGAAGTTACACTTCAGATGGACGTCCTGTATCTTTGTCCAATCCATCGCCTAGTGATTCACCATATACTGCAATCCCCGTGTCATCTGATCACATGGTTTCTAATTATCATCAAGCACATTCATCATCACATAGAAACATTGACCACGCCAGTCTGAGGGCATCTTCTCCGTCTGTATATCATCGGGAAGCAGTGCAAGCAGAATATAACAGAGTTTCTTCCCCTGAATACCAGTCTATGGTCAATGGCGAAAAACTGAAGAACTCTCAATCCGATCACCACACTGCAGTCGTAGCCCCAATTATCCAGAACCGATATACTCCGCAAATGAGTCGAGAGGACGAAGCCAGACTAACGGTCCCTCTGTTAACATACAAAATCCACGAGTCTTTCTACACAACTTTTACGTTCCTAAAACCGAGATTAGAGGAGATGCATTATAAGCTGAGAAATTACCAAGGCAGCGAATCAATGGACGGAATCATCAACCGACTTGTATCAGCACACATGGACAAATCCAACAGTTTCCAGGTGGGTGCAGTTTTATTAACCTAGTTAGTTAATCTAATCTGAAAAACGTAAAGTAGGTCTTCATAAATGAAACCAAATATGTACTAATGATTTATCTTCCTGCCTCTGTGATAGGATGGCGGGAATTAGCTTTTTGTTGAAGCTTTCAGCGACAGGGACTTTTAGCCTAATGTAATTACTCATTAGATTAGCAAATGAGAATGAATTGGGTTTGTTATGCAAAGGCCGTTGCATTGAGTTTTCCTTTAAATATTTCATTAGCAAGGAAGAAAATGTATATCATATAAAAGGCTGTTATAAAATGACTATTTTGAATAAATGTAATTTGAATATTCATGAATGCATAATGTCTTTTAAAAATGAAAAAAATATATATTCATTTATATAATTGCACCAGTTGTTATATTGCATATAAATAATTGTTATAAAACATGATTTTGGCTGGGTTGTGCATAAGTTTAAGTATGTAAAATCACATGAGTGTATAATGTACAATCGCAAATAATTGTATGTATTCAGTTGAGACTACATCGTAATTAGTTGCAAAGTTTATATTAACAATTATAAATGTGTTACACACATTTGATTTGCAAGTAATTAGAAGTTTGGTATTCAATAGCATATCTCATTAGAGAATACCTTCAAGTCTGTTATCAATGTGACTCTAGTGCTTAGGTATTTGATTACTGTCAGGTGGATGGAGGCTTGGCATTAAGATGCGATGGTGTTTTCTATGACTTTCAGAAAGATTTTTATTTTTTTCACTAATCACGTACTTTCTGGATGACTGAATTGAACTGCAGATCTGAACTTCCAGCTTCTATTATCTGGAACCCCTCAGAATCTCAACAAGCCCGCTTCGCCCACCCCCTCTTCCATCCCTATCACCGAAAAGATTTTTCCAAGTGTCTGGCCGTTTATTTAATATAGAAAATGAAGTTACAAAATGGGATACTGTGTCATTTCAAACCAAAGTATTACAGAAAGATATTTGATACTTGTTTAACTTTCCTTGTTTATTGTGATTTTTCTTTTATTATTATTGTGTAGAAGAAGAATTCCATTGGTTGTTATGTACAGGTCATCTTGTTCCCGACGTAAATTTGCATCAATATTATTGTTTTTTTCTACATTATAAGAAAGACCCCAGACAATACAGCTTAATGATGTATCCGAGTGTTTGTATGTTTGTTTAAGCAGAAATAGAAAACTGACAGATCTCCAGCAAAAGTGCTTACTAGTATAGGGAATGGATTCACTCCATGATTTCGACCAATAATAAACAAGTTCCTGTCTGTCTGCACCTCTTTTTTGCTAATCAAGAATGACCGGATGAAGAAGGGAAAAAATTGATATCGGTGGTGTCTAGACATTTGACCCTCGTAACCTTATTAGATGTGCAGAGAAGTGTAGCTGAATGGTGGCGTAGTGTCCCCTGATAGTTATATAATATAGACTTATTGACAAAGGTAGACATCCTCGTAACAAACTTGATTATTTCCTTTTACATTTGTATTTAGACAGAAAAAAAATTAATAAAAAAGCGAAAAAAGCAAAAAGAAATAGGGAAAAAAATAGATGCAAATTAGAATGCAATAGTCTAGTTTTTTTACCATCGGAATTCACTTATAGTCTAGACAGCCTATCCCAGGGCACCGTAGAAATCGTGAAGAATCGTCATTATTTCTAAGAAGGAGATATTTAGATTGTCCAAGAAACAATATTTCAAACGCGTTTTCTCGAAAAAAAAAAATCTTCCTGAACAAGGAATACACCAATGAGATGTTAAACCCTTAGGCTTGTTACGTGTAATAATTGGTGTCACAATGATGTGGTAATATACTAACAAGCATAATGCGAAAATTTGTGACAGCAATTTTAAATCAGAATAAACATCTATTTTGGTCGTCATTTATTTCTGAGAAAAGATGTATACATACCGTTATAAGTAGAGCACACATTAATTTTGTTTTGTAACGAGACCAAGGTTCCTGGTAAAATATTTGTATCTACATGTAGAATAAGGGTTTCTTTGTTGTGTTGACAAAGTCCTTGCGTTGAAAAAAAAAATCTACTGTATTGCTTGGGCAATTTAAGCTATGTTTCAATATATGTATTTAATGGCCAAGGAACATATTAAATAATTTTCTTTGTAAGAACTTTTCTGATTGGTTGACTTACTTCTGAGGTATTGCTTAAGGTTATGTTAAGCATGGGGAACTCTGAGCCAAAGTGGAAGACCACTCTCATGTCCCTCGCTACTGTGGGTTTAAATCTTTTTAGAGACTTGGAATTTATTTCATCTGAGGAAATGGATATACACTACTCATAGCAGGTCTAAGCCTGATCCAGCTAATGTTTAATATATTCATGTAGGAAAATCAATCAAAATTCCTCCTCCACCATGAAATCTGACCTCAACAGTGTAAGTATGACTCATTCAAAAGAATAAAACAAAAAGTCAGACATGTGAAGATATACAAGTGAAGTTTAGTAAGGTAGCTGCTGTGTTGTCATGGTTTTCTTTTCCGTGTTAGTAGTAATTTATGAAACCCTTGAGAACTGAAATGCCGCTTTTGGACGAAGTTGGCCGGCCAGTTCTTGCTAACCTGTGAGTCTGCTCATCTGTAGTAGCTGTGACTAACTTTAAATTTTGTCTTTATATCCCTAAGTTGATAATGAACAGTTCCAGAAATGGAAGCTGGTCAAGTCCATTTAACAAATTTAAGGTTACAGGTTAATATTTGACTGTTATATACTGAAATAGATTAAATAACGTACTTCTATGTTTCAATACTTCTATGTTTCAGGCATTGGATGGGAGGCCGCTGAAATCAGGCGAGGTGTGTTGGAATGCCTTCCAAAGTCTTCTGAACAAATCAATACAAGATGTGATCAACTTTGCCAAGAAGATACCAGGCTTTACAAATCTCGATCAAGAGGACCAAATAAGTCTCATCAAAGGAGGTTGTTTTGAGGTAATTAAAGTAATGAAAGTATTATGCACTTTCAATGTGAGCGCAAGTGCCTATGAGCTCAATCAGCCTGTACTTATACTGGTGTGACAAGTACTAATCTGCACTATTGTGTACATATTCAATAAGTACATGTATAATAAATTATTTAAATACTGAAATCTGTAGATACTCTGAAACTCCTGAATTTGTGTAATGGAATTATCAATCTTTGAGTCTCGGAACAATCCATTTGAATAGTACAGGATTTCAATATCAAAATATAAAAATTTGAGCTACCAACAGTGTATATCCTTGTCTGACTATACAATTGTGTAGATAAGCTCCTGGTTTGTACTGGTGGCAAAGGCTACAATCACTAAAGAATCTAGCAAAAGGTTAAAAATTTAATAAAAAAAGGGATAGTATTTATTTGGCGTAACAGTTTTAGAGGTAAAGTTATGATGGCTTGAAATGGTGATTCTACTAAACATGTGAAATGCTCCTAAGAAACAAGATTTAATAAATTGCCACCTAAGTGCAGTCCTTAGAAATTGTATAGGAGTTATTGCAAGATGATGAAAAAGAATATACAAATTAAAATGTTATTTGTTACGTATTCCCTCCCTCATCCTCAACCACACCCTTGTAATAATCAAAATTTGAAAAATAATGATTTGAATGTAAACCTATATCTAGATGATTGTATACTTACATATACACGCTGTCATGTTAACTGGTTTTCATAATTATTACATAAATTACGTGGGATGTATTGGAGATTTGAACAATATTTTGGTACTTTCAACATCATTATGTAGAAATTTAAAGCAGCATGCCTCTAGATTCATTATAATTTTCATGAAAGTTTAGAAATTGTTCTAATTTGAAAAAAAAATAGGAATGTTATCAAATGAGCATAAACCAGTAAATAGATTTTATGTAGCATCTGACACTTATTATTCACAGAATATTTCCTTTAACATGTCTAATTAAGCAGTAACTGCTCATACCCTGTTAGCCCTTTAATACCATGTTAACTAGACTTGTCCTTTGTTCAAATCTGGACTAGACCATTTATCTTTTTTAGGGAAAATTTCAAATCATATACTGACTGAATAGCGAACTGTGCAGACTATGATCAGACGACACAGAATTGCGGACTGGTCTTGATCTGCGCTATTTGCATGGGTAAACTCCATATCTTAAAAATAGAAATCCATGTCATATTTTGCATATTTTGTATAAAGTATCACACTGATTGTGAGTATTGATGCATTTTTTAAATGATTAATATGTATTTGTTTAATTTGATTATTGAAAGTTTTTATCCTATGTCTGGAGGCTTGCCGCTTTAAAAGAGCAAGTGGTGCTTTCTTTTGTGATTAAACCACCGTTATAATAATGTAAGGCATTGTTGCGTAGGCAGGTATAAGACCATTATCGTACTAGTTGTATTCAACTTTCTAAAAAATTTTCATGCAACATATTGCAGTGACATCTTGTTTAACTTACATGGTATTGTAACTATATATTAATTAAATCATATCTTAAATTGTTGTAAATCGTGCAGGGGTGAAACATATCTATGCCACTTGTAACATAACTAGGGTTTTTGAATAATGCGTCTGCTCGCATGAGCAGTTCCTACCTGCAAAATGGTGTACCGAATGCTCTCCAGTTATTTTAGACAATCTCGAAGGTTGTTTGGGGTTATTTTTTGCACTTGAATTGTAAGGAAACATTTCCAGGTGCATAACTGATTATAATACGTTCCAGCATCTGTACTCATTTGTTTGAATAGACGGAAATACTTAAAGAGACATGTATTGTAGGATACATTTGCAATAGATCAAATGATCTTTGTCCAGACTACAACATGATCAAAGTTAATTAGGAAGTCCTTGTGCATAGTAGTGACAGGTGGTGATTGTTACCTTTAAATCTTACATAAATTATCCGCCCCTTGCATGAAGGTTAAGTCATTGTATGAAACATGACAAAATGCATGTTTCACATTCTTCAATGTTTTGTATATCTGAAATAAGTTCAATGTGTGGGTAAAGGGAGGTCACTCAAATATTGTTTTCTGTAACATTATTCTGATATACATTTATAGTTTTAAACTGAATGGAGGCATGCCTTTCTTGATTGGGATATGGGGTTTACAACATTTATCCTCTGGAAATTTTGCTTAAAAGTCTAGAATTCTAGAATTCAAATATGTTATTTTTTACAGGTTTTCACCTTCAAAAACAATCATAGAATAATTTACTAATCTGCTCAAGTGATACTTGAATTGCTTGAATTGTATAAGCTTTACTGTTACTATTACATGTATTTAGATGTATAAATGTAAATGGTAAGTAAAGTATAAAGTGATTTGAATTCTGATAAACCATGGTTTATCATTAGGTTTGAAGATGGCAAAGATTTGTGTAGAACAGACATATACGTAGTTCTCATTTATATTTTATAATGTGCTTTTATTTATTTATTTTTTATTTTTTCAATCCACCAGGTGGCGTGTGTTGTCCATGCTCAGTTTATAGATGCAGAATCGAACACAATATTCCTGGAAGGTCACAATGCATTAGTGAAACGAGATGACATGAAATGTGGTTTCCCGCTAGGAGAGCACTTTGTAGAGTTGATGTTTAATCTATGTGTACGATTTAATACATTCAAGTTGGAAGAGCCGGAAAAAGCCTTGTTCAGTGCTTTGGTGCTTATATCTCCAGGTATGCATTATTATTATATTAAATCCCTATTGTGTTATTGGTAGCGTTTTTCTTTTGGCCACTCTGCACAACAGAGTTAGAGTTGGCACCTCTGCACAACAGAGTTAGTGAAATTTGATGAATAAAAGCAGCCAAACAGTCTCGGTGTCGATGGTCAAGTCATTTTATGATCTTTGGCTTTAAACCACATGCCCCTAACCAATATAGGTTCAAATCCTGTAAGGGACTTTGAATTCTTTCATGTGAGGAAGCTGTCAAGCTAGTTTATGGATAGTTGGTGGTTCTACTCAGGTGCCAGCTTGTGCCTGAAATAATGTACTGAGAGGGCTATCTGAGGACTTCCTCAAATCTTGGCAGGGTAAATTGTGGTCAGTTTGTTCTCATGCTTCAAAAAAGTGTAAGCTTCCTTGTCTTTATTGAAATAAAAAAAGCAATGCTGGTATTCTAAGTATTCAAGTATGCTCTTGTATGGCATTTCATGTTTTTGAACAGCCTGCGGTTGTATTTCTTAGTATTAATAGTTACGATTGCTAAGAAGTGTAAATGGTTGTTATTATGTCCGTTGTCATGATCTCACATTGAAATCAAAATAACCCTTTGCTTACATCAGGTAGCTGAATAAGAACCATAGGTTTTTCCTCTCAATATCCTGGTACATTTCTTGGAAACATTTAAATTGGGAACAAAGGATTGTCTAGCCGCAGTAAATATTTGTCTCGTCATGGTTTATAGCAGTAGAATATGAGTATTGCATTCATAAGTTACAATGATCTATCCTCGGAACACGTATAAAATTAGACAATACAGCATTTTATAGAAAGAATAGCAAAGTAAAAATGTTATTCTGTCAGGGAAATAAGAACTAGACATATTGGATAGGATTGTTATGAATGCCAGATGATCTGACTAATACTGAGATTAATTACAAGTGTCAGACTCATTTCCATTGAATTTAACTTGTCACTTGGTGGAGGCTGCAGAATTTTTGTTTACTTGGAAATGGGCATTATTATGCTCCTTGAAAAAATTTTTTTGCCTGAAACATACAGCTGATAGTTTGCCTGTCCAAGCATGTAGGTAAGGGTTAGAGGTATTTAATGGTAAAAAAAACCACTAGAAATTATTCAGTTTCTATGGGATGAGGTGCAAAAGTCCATTTTGGTTGAACCCCCGCCCCTCTTCCCATCCTTCTGTCAAATTTGCCTACCAATTCTCATAGCATCTTCATTTATTGTCATTTGGTAGATTTATAGCTATCATTGGCCTTTACCATTGGGAAGTGCTTCAGGTAGATAAGGTCAATGTCATTGGTGCTAAAAATAGTTTGAGAATATAATATAATAATAATGATACTCTCAATAAGAACATGTTTTTTTTGTGTTGTCAAGGCAACATTCGGAAGATTCCTTGTCTGTAACTTATATCCTTATCTTTGGAAAAGTTTAATACTTTATCAGCGGACACAAGGGTATTTTTTTTTTATAGTAATTAAAAGATCCAGACGTAAGAAGTACAGAATAATATGACTTGCTGTCTGTACGAGATTTCTTTATAGCAGGCTGGTTTTTTATTACATGACGAATTCAGTCATTTTTATAATCTTTACATCATTGTAATTATTTCCTGCAGACACTTGTATTAAATAATATTTTTAGGAAACGTTCTGCTATTATGGGAAGTTTATTACGTCTTACTATGACCTTTCATGCCCACTTATTATGTTAAGTTCTCAGACAGAAGTGGTTTTTTTTATATATGTACTTTACAGGCATTAATTTAGATATCCTCTAGTAAAACTTAAATGATGGATCCCCAAGATAAGTGTCATTTGCTGTCTGGTTTAGGAAAGTAATTGACAGTGTTATAATTTGAAGACTTTATTCGTCTCTGTAAAGTACTAGTTAGTGAAAAAAAAATGCATCCGTATTTTAATGTCCCCATCAATGAATCTTAAATTAATGGTTTATCCATATATCATTATCCGTATCAATTACTCATGAAGAATAAATCAGTATGAAATGTTTTTAGCTGTCCATCATGTTCATTTTATAAGACACAATTGTCAAACTTAGTTGAAGTTTAAATCAAGCTCACACTTAAAAGAGCTGTTATAGAATTAAGAAAAGTATGAAAATTACATGCCTACCGTATGACCTCTTTCTATATACATGCATATTTGGCAATGAGTTAAGAAAGAATTTTGTATTTTAATTTTTTCTGCTCGCAGATCGGCAAGGTCTGAAGAACCGTGAGAAAGTGAGCAAGCTACAAGAGTTATTGATTCAAGCATTACAGAGTAAAGTAACGTCAACACATCCAGATGAGAGCGGACTCTTTCCACGTCTTCTCATGAGCATATCTAGTCTACGAGAACTCGGTGTCGAACACAGGAGGATGCTGGGAAGCCTTAAAGGACAGATCAGCTTCGCCCATGATCTGTACGCTGAGACCTTCGATCTGCTGTCCTAGAGATATATATATATGTAATTATAATTACTGTTAGTCATCCGAAAGAAATGCACTACGTAATGGAAAATATAATTGAATGACGTTTAAGTGCTATTTATATATTTTTTATGTTATTATTTTTTATTGACAGTTACAGTGTCAGTGCTGTATACTGGAAATAGAATAATTTTTACCAGAGGCAAAATGGTATCCAAAGACTGATATAAAATGATTTTCAACCTACGCCTGTTTTTACAACCTAAGACTGTTTTTCAACCTAAGGATGGTTTCCAGCCTTTGACTGGTTTCCAACGTTTATGGCTGGTTTCCAACATAAGATTATTTCCAACCTTTAAAGGTTGTTTTCAAACCTTTAGTTTCCAACGTAAGACTGGTTCGTTATTCTTTAAGGCTGTTTTCCAACATCAGACAGGTTTGTAACCTGAAGACGGTTTCCAGCTTATGACTAGCTACCAGCCTTTAAGGCTGTTTTCTAACATCAAACTGATAAAGACAGAATCTGAATATTTTGTCAGCAAAGTTATCATAAGTACAGTATTGGATACCATTTTGATGTGAAATCTTGGGACAAAAACTCAAATCCATCCGGTGACTTTATTTTCCAATTATATACATGTATATATAAACATGCTTTCTGTCATTTTATTATTTTTTTGACAGCTTTTTACCATCTAGGTCATTATGATATATCAGTTTCTATTTCCAAGTCATTAAATTATTGAACCCATTGTTGAAGATATATATATGTATATATATATATATGAGCCGCGTCATGACAAAACCAACATAGTGCGTTTGCGAAGCATGGATCCAGACCAGCTGGCATCCGCGGGCTGTCGGGACCATGCTGGCGCAACTCCACATGTTGGTTCTGGTGACCGCTGGTCGCAACCACTTTTTTTCAGCGTCATATATATATATATTATATACATGTATATATATGTGATGCCATCCTTCACTATCATGTGTAACCATGCATTGTACATGTGGCTATTTATTTCATTTTTCACATCATTGAAATATTCCAAATTTTGAAATAGTGTATATTTTTGTTCTTGTTTTTTTGTCCTTTAAGTAATTTAAATAATTTATGCTTAAAAAAAATGCAATTAAGTGCTATTGAATTATAGAGTGGAGAGAGATGAGTTTGTGTAAATCTGTGCTGTATTTGTTTAAATGCTCAGTATTTCTCGAGCTAAAAGTTGTTCTTGTTGTTTTCTCAATGAGTTTCATTTTATTTTCACTTATAAATATTTTATGCATAATGTTACATGCTTGAAATGAAGGGACTTTCCTAAATAGAGCTAAATTTGAATTAAAAGAAAATGCTTGCTTGTTTAGAAAGACTAGAGAAGTCTTTGGAAGTTAAAATGAAAACAATTTTTAAGTTAAAGGTGAACTGACTAAGTTGACAGCAATGATTTCAAGATCAATACATTTCTGTTTAACAGAAAATAAACAAATGCCTTGCTTGATTGACATTAAAGTGAAAGAATATTTGAAACTACAGGAAAGATTTTTAAAAACTTACAGAAAGTATTGTTGAAACTACTGGTCGGGGACCATCAACTGGACACTTTTTGAACATTTTTCCGTACTGATTTAATAATTTTTAACCTAGAGACCTTAAAATTTGACACAGTTCAGCTAGGTTCTTCTCCTAACTAACAAACTAGTTTGTTTATTTCTGATTGTATTGACACTTATATCTGAGGCTTGACAAGGAGGGTATCAAAATTACCTAAATTGTCTACACTACAGTACCATGTGTCCGGACAAATATGTACATCACGCGATTTAATTCAGATAAAAGCTTGGGTGTTTTTGATTTTAGATTTTTAACATGATGTACAATATTTCAGCAACAAATGCTGAAGTTTTGGATATTCTATTGTTTACTCTGCAAATGATTATAGCTGGTATATGAGGTCAGGTAATGCTTTCTTGACCCCCCAAATTTCAACGTCAACATTGTAGAAATAGACATTAAAATATTACCATTTACAGAGGTTGAAATAAATTTATTTACTTAATTTTAGAAGAAATGTGCATTTATTGTTAATGAAAAAGTGACTGACAACCACTTAAAACTTGAAGAAAGTATAGGAAATATGTTTAAAATTATTAGTCAATTTAACAGAAATATGTTTAAAATTTAGAAATTGTAGTTAAAAAACTACAGGAAAGATGTTTAAACTTACAGAAAGATTTTTGTAAACTACAAAAAAGATATTTAAACTCTGAAAAGTGCTAAGCGTGCTGATACTGTTGGTATATGTGTATATAATGTGTTAGCTTTATGCTTTAGAGAGAGATTTTATTATTTATTTATTTATATTTGTTTATTTTTGTCAAGATTTGCTAGTGTTATTTATTGGGAGAAAGGATTAATTGTGTTTTGTGACCTAGATAGGTGTTTTCAACTAGATTTTTCTTTTTGTTACTTTCATGTTGACAGATGCCAATTTTTGTGGGACTCTTTTTTTTTTTTTTTTTAAATGATTTTAAGTGCACCAAATATTTGTTTTGCCCCCTTTTTTACACATTGTTAGATATATGTTTCATTTTTTATTTTTTGTTTATGTTGCTGGAAAAGAAAATTATCTAGCTTTTTAGAATATTCTTTAAGATAAAAGCTTTTTTCCTGCCATTTAAGTTCAACTTATTTCTTCTTAAATAAATAGAAATCAAAACAATTGATCTTGATTTCAGTTTTAAAAAATGTAATTAAGTTAAAGGTAAAAATAAGAATAGTGAAAAAGAATTGGTATTTCAAAAAAGATTTCGGATTGAGATAAATTTGACATTATTGACAGAATCAGAGGGTTTTTTTATGGCACGGGTTGGGATTGGGTAAAAAGATATTCCTATACAAATTTTGATGTTTTTTTTGTTTAAAAAGTTAAAGGGTAATTCACTATCTGCAGGTAAATGTTTCTTTCTGAAATTGAAAGAATTATTTTTGTTAATTTCTGATAAGTCAAGCAGCTCATGTAAGTTATAACTAACCCATTTGGGGAAAAAATTAATGTAACTTTTTGTTGAAGAAATTATTCAAATCTTAATTTACTGAATATCAGTTTTGTTTCCTACCAATTCTTTTGCATCACTTTTGGATAATTTTCTCATAATTTTGAGTTCAAAATAATCAGAAGTTTGTAATTTTTTCAGATTTCTTTTTCTCAGATTTTTTTTTTTTTTTTTCAGATTTTTTTTTTTTTAATTTTCGTTGAGATTTTTTAAAAACTTGTTTCACAATGTAGGAAATAGAATGTTTATTTAATATTTATAAGTTACATATGATTTGTTATTATATATGTACAAGGCATTAAAAAATGTTATGTTATGAAACTGTACATTACACGACATAATTTGTACACAGGCATACAATATATATGATAGCCTATTGTATGTAATGTGTAGCAGTACTGTTGATGATATATGCATATGTGTAAAGTGCAGTATATTGTATACAATTGTAAATACACAACTTATATGCCATGTTCTCATATCACTGATAAGAACGCTTGATACGTGTTCTGCATATAGTTTCAAATTACAAACAATTTGTTTGAAAAGGTTTTGCACTTGTGTATACACAAAACATAATAAAAAAAAATGTTGGTTTCTTTACATTGTAATATAAACATGTTAAATAACAAAATTATGGTGTTGAAAACTCCGTTATCTCATACAAAGTTGAAAATAGGATATGCAAACTTTCAGAAAGAATTCAGACTTTTTCCGATCACTTATACAGACGTATTTCCAAATTCTTGCTTGTATAATACTTGTATATATAAAGGGATTGATATTGTTCACAATCCTTTTAATCCCCTTACCTGCTGGAACCGAAAAGTGATTTGCATTTGCCACTAGTATAGAGCCAGGCCAGTCTACACATATGTTGGTAGCTCAATATTTCAAATTTTGATATTGAAATCCCTTTAACATTGAATGGACTGTTCCAAATTCAAAGCTGGGCAAGTCCATTACACAAATTCAGCAGGTTTAGGGTTGAAACAAAAGTTTAAAAACTTTGTATATGAAAATACAGGCATTTTTCTTCTATCCATCTTCTCATTTACTGTACCTAGTGCTTTTATTACCCACCCTTCGAATGCTGAATTTTTCATCTTAACATACCTATTATTGATAATGGGCAGTTCCAAGAGAGAAATTGGACAAGTCCATTTTGCGAAATTCAGCAAGAGAAGGGTCATGGACTGATATGAAAATGTATTAAGATGTGTTGTTTGTTTCACGGTATATTATTTATAAAAAAACAGTGTGATTTAACTCCCAAAGAGTCAAAAAGAGGGTGCTTTTTTATTTAAAAATACAATTTACACTTCCTAATATTTGTTATGTATTGTAAAATAGCTTGACAAGTTGTACGTAAATTCTACTCATTTCTCTCGATGCAAAAAGTCACTGAGCACAAAGGTTTTTTTTTATACGTGAGTAGAGGTTGGACAAGTCAACTCAGTAGCTTTGGTTTGAAAAGATGCACGATTATTGCATGGAGGAATTTTCATGTTGGCTACGAATATTTTGTCAAGGGATGTCCATGCTTGAGCAGAAAAACACTTTTTGGCTTTTTGCATTAGATTGATGAAAAAACCCTGTAAATTGTGTCATGAACATATTGAATGTACTTTCTGTCGTTGTTATTGTTTTGTGTGTAAAAAAAATAAACAATTTATAATGCCATAATAAATAGTTGTTACAGTGACTGGAAGTCACGTCACATATCTATCATTGCCTAAATCACTTTAGCTTCTGTTATTCAGTACAGAGAATTGGGTTTATGAGAACACCTGCTGTTTTACGTATTTGAATCAAAGAAATGAAAGAAAGAGAATAAATTTTTTTTTTGCTGTATCATCTTAATAGTGTTAATGAATTAAATTTTTTTGAAATCCGAAAAGGGAATTTGATATAGATATAAAAAAAATTGTTAATTATATATTTTTGACTTTTGTTAAAGTTTGGAACGTCTTTTAAAAAAAAAATGTTTCTTTTTTTTGTTTTTACTTGTTCAATTTAAAGTATTTTTGCTGCTTGTATTTTTCGAAATGAAGCAGGTTTGTTTGTGGCCATAATTAATAGGCCTTTCTTTTTGAAATATTTTGTGTGTGTTTGTATTTGTTAGTATCGTTCTATCTATAAATTGACTTATAGTAGTGAAAAAAAAAGCCATGAATTATGTTTATTGCCACAAAGATTTGTTTATACATAATGTTTATTATATAAGTACCGTAATAATGTGCTGTACAAAGTTTTGCCTTTTCTAATTGGATGTATAAAGAGCTGTGATTTACCGATGTTTGTGACGAGGAAAACCAGATAGCAAGATATAAACGTCTTGATATCCCATTGTAATAAAAAAATGCTCTTTTTAGTTCAAATCCTGATCGTATTTTTGATTGTTATTTTACATCATTTTATTATCATTTTATGCTTAAAAGAAAAATCATCATGTCAAGCACAACATACGACCTTTGAGGTATCATTCCTTTTATGAATACATTAACCTTTAGCCTGCTGGAAACCAAAAACGTGTTTTGCCCTTTGCCGCCAGTATCCGTGCAGTCCGACCAGGCTGACTGACTTAACTTTAAAATTTTCATCCTGATATACTTAAAATTGATAATGGACAGTTTCAAAATTGGAAGCTGGACAAGTTCATTTATGAAATTCAGCAGGTTAAGGGTTAAGAAAGAATATTTGTTTTCATCACTATAGTCATTCCTGTCATCTGTTGCTGTACAAAAAACCGCTTTGACACATTTTACACCAAGTGTAATTTTTCATTTTTCTCACATCGAGGGAGTTCTGATTTGCTTATGGAAGGAATGTTAGGAACAGTTTTGTCTTTTTTGTGAAAGTTGTCAGGTAGTAAAAAAAAGGAGAAGTCATATGTTTAAAGTTTACATTGCAATCGTTTAATAATTTAAATAAATCAATTGTTTACCCAACTTGAAATTTAAGTATGTCATTATCTATAACCTGTGCTGTAAGTTTTGCAAATAGGAAACCAGTGTAAGGGTGTTTGTTTATAATTCTTACAAAAATATTAGTAACATAATTGCCATGGTTTAAGGATAACAATTGAAAACAAGCTTTTGAGAAAGTTAAGAAACTTTTCTAGATTGTAATGAAGTGAATTTCAAATTTGAAGCTACATGTGTGTAGAGAGAGAGAAAGTTTGACTTAGCTATGAATTGTGACTAAGGTATGGCATTTAACTAAGAAAATGATTCAAATAAGGAATGGATTTTAATGGTAGGGGATTTTAACCAAGGTATGGATTTTAACTAGGAATGGATTGTAACAAAGGTATAGATTGTAACTAAGGAATGGATTGTAACCAAGGAATGGATTGTAGCTAAAGTATGGATTGTAACTAAGGTATAGATGTAACTAAGGTATAGATTTTGACTTAGGCATGGATTGTGACTGTAGTATGGATTAAGGTATAGATTATCAGAAAAGTATGAAATATGACTAAGGCATTAATTGACAGGAAACTGTTTTCTGTTTGAGCTCCTGACACATCAGCTAGCTTTCTGTGTTGGCCAAGCCGCCATCTTGTACATATACAACTCTTTGAAGGTGCTTATAACGCTGGTGCGGTCATTTTTTTTTTGTCATCTTTTTATTATCATACTATCAGTTTTACTGATAAAAACCATGGCAACAGTTTGAACAGTAATTAACAATTATATTCAAATAAAGGTAACAGATTAACCTTTTGATTCAGTACATAAAAGTAACATCAGATTTTATTGTAACAAAAAAGGTTTTTATTAAAGGTTTTAAGAAAAGTGTTTATTTTATCAAGGTTTTAAGATAGAAAATCAATATTGTGGTTTTATTTTCCATGAAAATTTAATTGACACTGTTATATCGATGAAAAAGTAATTAAATTCATGACTCACAGTGCCAGTGGAAAATTGTTCTTTGCTTATCTCATAACTTTCATTGACCATGGCGTTAGAAAAATATCAAATATTTTCAATTTTTGCTGTAATTGTCGTCTCAAAATTCATTCAGATCTTGGACTTCTGCTGCCTGTTTCTTTTATTGTCATATGTTTGATTCTTCTGCCTTCAAATTCAGAACAGTTCTAATTTTTAACCGAGTTTCAGATGAAAAATAAAAATCAACAAAAGCAGAATAGGTTCCTTCCTTGATGAACATATTGATATGCAAGGAAAACGATCAGTTAAAGATCAAAGCTTGTTATTTTACTTGTCAAAGATTGTGAATAGTATTCAAAACTTAAACTTTTTGTTTATATTGCTTCTTACCAACATTTTTATTATATTTACTACAGAGTTTGAAAAATGAATTTTTTTAAAATGATAGAAACACATTAGTAATTATAATCATTTAGTTGAATAATATTAAAGGTTATTTTCTCTATATATGACACTTTCTTAAGTTTAACAAATCTTTTACTGTATATCATCATTGTAAGCATTTCTTTGTTAAAATTATATATTTATTATTCATTCAAATGCATCAAATGCAAAAAAACACAAACTCCAGAATATTTTCATTGACTTGCATGCATTGGTTTGTATGTCAAACATATTATTGCCATTTTAATTTGTTTGTTTTAATGAAACTTTGAAAAAATTAACTAAAAAGTGTAGTATTTGTTATGTTAGGTCTGGTAGTGAAATGAGATCAAATAGAAGTCATTATTTAGAAGTGTTCTTGTTTTTTATTGGTCATTTTTTTGTGTAATGTAGAGGTTTGCCTAGTTTAGAGATTAAAGGTTTGATATATTTGATCAAAATCCAAGTATTTTTCTCATAATAATGCGCACGCATACAGAGATATTTTATTTTAGGTGAGAGCAATAGGGATTATGTGAATGTTGATTTATAAAACTCCAATCTACTGCTGATATGCAAAAAATAAGAAATACTCCATGTCCTTATTGAAAAGCTATAGTTCTAATATCAAATTGACCTTTAGGGTGAAGGTTACATGTTCATTTCATATAGGAAAAAATTCATGTGACCTTGACCTACTTATTAATGAGGTCATGTTTGTTGACCTTTAAGATGAAAGTTGCACCAGTATACTTTGAATGATAAAAAAAGTGCGGTATTGGTGTTAAAGTTAAGATTATTGACCTACTAGCTATGTGTCTGGCCTATTTACTATGCAATAGAATGTTGCATTCCTTTTTAATTTGTTGTGAATGACTAATAATCTTGACAGAAAGTAAAATGAAGAATAAATGATTTTTAGACATGTTTTTTTTTCCGTTGATTTAAATAGTACTTTTTTTAAGCAAGATTTTACCATACAGCATATGAATCCAATTTGTTATATTTCAGTTTACTTTTAAGATAAAATCACCACAAATAAGTCATTTCTTTGAATTAGGAAAGTGACCAAGAAGTTTTTTTTCCAATCTTGATAATATTAGTATAAGAATTTGAAATAATTTTTTGCATCGTAAATTAATTTTATTGTGACAGACTGTTAATGTAGACAAAATGTTGGTTTTATTATATATATTGAAAATGTTGTAAACTGTTAACACTGTGGTGGATTCCCCGCACTTTTCAGTCTTCCTTTTTTATAAAATGCAGCTCTTAAATTTCTATCCTGAACATATCATTCTTGTTTCGTGTTGTTCCTTTATTATTTTTTTCTCCCAACTCTGTGTTAAACTTGTGTGCATGATGAGAAATTTATGACTTAGGTGTAAATGATGAATAAATTTTAAAATTGAAAATTGAAATCTTTCAAGGCTACGTAATGATCCTTTAAAATTTTGCAGGGTTAAATCTATTGATGACTTTTTATGTCAAATTTTATGAAAATGTAGAAATATCTGAAATAAGGTCTTACAGTATACAGTGCTTAAACTAGTAAAAATAATTCTCCAGATTTTGATGAAACTTTACAGACTGACTGTTAAAGGTCCGACCTAATGACCTACTTGTGCAATGTACATATCCTTATTGAAAGTTTTTTCCCCAGAGTAACGGCCCTTTAATGTAAGTATTGCTTCAAGTGCACATTTAAGAAGTGTGTTCATAATAATGCGAATTCTTGTTGGTATTTGTAGGTTGCACTTTTTGTTTTTTATTGTAAACTAATGATCCATTATTCTAGCAATTAAAGCAATGTATTAAATAACAACAACAAAAAAGTATGCATGATTTTAATGTAAGAAATGTAGTTTGGGGTCCTCCTGGGCTCCTTGCCACTGGCTCTTGTTACTGGGTCGGGTGGGGGCTGCGTTCATTGAACGCCGCCTTTCCTTGATGATCTTGTTTATCATATTTTCTGCAACTTACAAAATTTTAGCAATTATTGATAACGTTTTTTTGTTTTTTTTATCTTGAATAGGTAGATTAAATCATGGTTGTATAAAAAAAGGCAGTTCAAATAAAAACGAGGCATAGAAAAGAAGATGATAAAATATTTATATATAAAGATATTGTGTTACTATAAATAGCAGTTGTGTTACTATAAATAGTGATTGTGTTTCTATAAATAGCGTAATGTCCTATCTGGTAGATTTAGTCAGTGTGTTATGTTGTGGATGTGGTGTAGATGTTGGAATATCTTGAAGACTTGGTTGAAATTGTGATACTTAAATACCCCCTGCCCCCTCCTAAAACCTAGTTCTTTGCAGATCAGTGTATTTTAAATGTATGTTATTGTTAAATTGAATTTTTTTTAAAGAAAAGAAGACCATTTATATGAACTTTACTACTTACAGTTTAAACAGTTTGCTTTGTATTTTCTGTTTTATTTCATACAAGGATTGTATCTATTTTTATCATTTTCAAATGTCAAATGATAAAGATGTAAATAATGAAAGGTATTGTTAAAAGCACAATGCACAGTGTTTATGATTTAATTTATTTTAGTTTTTTTAAGCAATTCTTTTTATTTCAATCAATTTAGCTTGATTTTAAGGTTAAAATGTTCATGAAATAATGAAATTTTAGGAAGTTTTAGATGAATACTAGTAGTCCGTGTAAATGAGCACATAATTCTATAAAGAGGATATGTAAAACCCCATTCTTTTATCCCTACATGTTGGGGGAAAATTTCTGATCACACATATGTATGTTGGATATATCAGAATACACACATGTGTTTTGATAAAATTACTTTACACATATGAAGTTTTGTAGGTTATATGTCACCACATTGGGAATTGCAAGTTATATGTCAAAACATTAGAAAATGCAGGTTATATGACACAACATTAGAAAATGCAGGTTATATGACACCACATTGGGGGAAAAAAGCAGGTTATATGACACAACATTAGAAAATGCAGGCTATATGACACGACGTTAGAAAATGCAGGTTATATGACACAACATTAGAAAATGTGTAGGTTATATGACACCACATCTACATGACTGGTACACTTTGTGACATGACAGATATGTGACTGACACATGTGACACTACATGTGTTTGACTCTTTGGTTATATGTCATCAAGCATGTTTGACTGTTATATTATGTGACATCACTTATACTTGATTGGTATAATATGTAAGGTAACACATATGTGACTAATAAATTATGTGACATAAATTTGACTAGGAAGTAATATAACATCAAATAAATGACTGGTATGTTACATGATGTCACACATGTCTTGTGGATTATATGACATATATCTGTGATTGGTGGATAATGTGACATTTTAAATTTGTGACAGGTAGAATATATGACATTACACTTATGTTAGTGAATTAAATTTGATGACTTCACAAATATTTGACCTGTAGATTTTGTGACATCACTAAACATTGTGACATGTAGATATCAGATTAAACACATGTGACTGGTAGATTATGTGACATCAGTTATATCAGATTTGACACATATGTGACTGGTCAATTATGTGACATCACTTATATCAGATTTAACACATATATGGCTGGTAGATTATGTGACATCATTTATATCATATTATTAAACACATATGTGACCAACTGTAAAATCGAGGGAGTGATATGAACCTCATTTATATGTGTATACCAGATAATATTACATAACACATATGTGTTTTTATGATGTAACAATACACATATGTTTCAATGCTCCATGTATCAAAAGCCAAGAATGTGTTTCAAATGAAAATAATTCTCAAATAGGCTAGTCAAAATATTATACTTTAATAAATGCATTAGAGGATTACGTTATTAACATATTGTACGCAGCATATTTATGATTTTTTCATAACATTTTAAATATTTTTTTCATCAAAATATATCAAAAGAATAACATGATTCCATGTAATATTTCACCAAAACAACTTACTGAATTGGGTTTACATGGATGAATGGTTTTGAAAAGTTTTGTAAGATATTTATTTCTGGTAAAAGAGTACAAAATACTTAGTTTTCCCCCAAGAAATAATCTTTCAAATGAAAAGGTTCAAATGTAATAACATGATTCTTATATATTGAATGTTATAGTACATATCATATTTATTGAAACCATAAAAATTGTCTCCAAATTAAGAAAATTTGCTGTTTTCAATTTTTCTTACTAGGTTTTTGTGTGTGAACCTTTATTGTAACTAGTGATAAAGAAATAAGTGACTTTTTAGAATATTGGTAAAAATGATTTTAGTGTTTTTATTATTCATTTAAATTGGCTTTTCATTGCATTGAATTGATTAAATAAGCTTTTGAGGCCATTTTTCACAAAGAAATAACAACTTTTATATGCTTTTTTTCTCAATTTATCAAAATAATGATTTACTGTTGCAATTTACAAAAAATGTGGCGGAAAAAACATTCAGATATTGATTTTTTGATTTATTTCACTTTGTCATTTTGTCTAAAAAGTTACTCTGTGTAAACTTGTAAATTTTTCTCTAAAATGGTCTTACAATTAATTCATAAATAGAAGATCCCTTATTTTTTATTTAAAAAAAAAGAAGAATTTGTTTGAATAATAATAGATCCCATAAAAAATATTTAAAAAAAACTTGTATCTATCAACCATGTGACCCTTTTAAGACTTAGTGTTGTGGTAATTAAATTAATGATGGAGTATTCCAAAGTTATACCATGACGAGTCCATTCACAAAAATTAGGGTTAACTTACTTAAATTTGAACACAAGGTTTCTCAAAGTAAATGTTAAAATGGTGCTCAATAGAATTTTGCAGTTTATTTTATACAAAAGAAGTGTGTGTAGTATGATGTATTTGTCTCTAGTTAAGGTTATTTTACAATTATATTTCATGTTATTTATACCTTGAATCTCACTTGTATTTTCTGTTTTACTCTGCTGCAGAAGTCCATCAAAAAAAATAAAACTTCCATTTTCAGCTATATTGTTGTTTCTTTGTTGTTTTTATTTTGGATATAACTATATGAACAGAAGCTTTACCTCAGTTCTTGTTTTATGTCTTGATTGGGTTTACGTCGAAACAATTTATAGGTCATATGACGAAAGTTCCAACTTTACTGTGAAACACCTTTCGAGTCCCTTTCCAAAACCATATTTCGGCATCAAACAGGCACCTGGGCCCAACTACGAACCACATTTCGGGTAAGCAGCAACTTACCTCACCATAGAAAGAATCCAATAACCATTGTCTTGCAAGCACAGGGTGGACAATGGTTTAAGTTAAGATTTAGCCTCATGGTTTTTGACAAATCTCGGTGATCGAACCAAATAACCAGCATTCCGAGATAACTGGTTTAAACATATTTTAGCTCAATGACAGAACAAGTTCTTTCAACTTATATTAATCACTTTCGAGTCTGCTTCTGGTAATCAACCAGCACTGGTGTCATATATGAAGAAACATGGTTGTGACCCGATTAGGGCTGAACTTATCTCTGTATGGAGAGGCAGACACTTTAACCATTTGGCCACCACTCCAGGATAACTAACCAATTTCTCCGCAAGTGCACATGAAATGTGTTTAGTTATTAGATTCTAGCAGGGATAATGCCTTGTGTTTGTTACTGGTATTGAGTCCCGTCAAAACTTGGTCTTACATCATTAGAACCATTAAATGTTATGAAAGTGAACTTTAAACGGACTTGCAACAATTGTCTGACAACAACTTATGCTTAGGAGTATATCCGGTTAGCTGCGTAAAACAGAACAGATATTAGTTGGTTATTACAGAATTTATTTTAGTTTGATTGTGTAGGAAGCTATAAGCTTATAGACACACTTTTGAACCCTTTCCTGGGACCAACCAGTACTTACCAATGTGTGTAAAGTTTCTTGCTCAAGGAAACAATGACTTGCCCCTGACAGGGTTTGAACCCATGCAGCTAACTATCACTAGATTAGTTGTCTGACACTTTAACCACTCAGCCATGCAGACATTAGTTGTATCATTGAGTTAACTGGCAACGATTTCACTCGATTAACTCCATACAAAACAAATAAACACATAAAACAAAAAGAACATCTTCAATGCATTCAGTTTGTTGCAACAGATTGTCAACAACTGCACAAGTGTATTTTACATCAATTATCTATCTGTCTAGACCAATCTAACTTATTAAGTGGTTCTACTTTTTTTATGCCGTAAAACATAACGGCGGTTACCAGGTATCGATAATATATAGTTTATACTTTACAGACTTTTATGAACTTATTGATAATATAACAGCCTATTACTTGACATTTTACAGACCTTCAGTTCACTACTGACAGTTCTGTCCAGCTGCTGCCCAATGAAGCAGAAACTTGTAAACAAAATAAAGTACATTGAAGCAGAAACTTGTAAACAAAATAAAAATACATTGAAATATCAACATGTTTTACCTAATCTTGTCTATTATCATGTAATATTAAAACAGCAGTATACAGGAGTATTCAACTGTAACTCAGGAAATCATCTTGTTCTATGTCATTTAATTCTATCAATCTGTGAATGTAGAGATCTTTTGAGGTATCTCTGGCCCTTTTAAGTACAGTGGAAACCCAACAACCTAACGTGCAGCTTGGAGAGTGGAAAACCCATGTAATTATGTAACCTGCTGCAGTTTCAGTGTGGAAACTTCATATCTACCAACTCTTGCAGTGTTAGAGTTAAAGGCCTGTATTTCCAGTCTCTTAGAGAGTCAAAATGAAAGCCTTACATCTGCAATATATTGAAGTATGAAAACCCTACACCTGAGTGCCAGCTCTTGCAGTTAAAGTATAAAAACCCTATGTTTGCCAGCTCTTGCAGTTAAAGTATAAAAACCCTATGTTTGCCAGCTCTTGCAGTTAAAGCATAAAAACCCTATGTTTGCCAGCTCTTGCAGTTAAAGCATGAAAACCCCTACATCTGTCATCTCCTGCAGTTCAAGCATGAGAAAACTACATCTGCCAGCTCTTGCATGAAAACAATACACCTGCCAGCTCTTGCAGTTTCATAGTTGAAACCTTGCACTTTCCAGCTCTTGCAGGTAAAGCATGAAAACCTTACATCTGCTAATCTCTTGCAGATACAGCATGAAAACACTACATCTGCCAGCTCTAGCAGTTTTATAGTTTAAGCCCTACACTTGCAAGCCCGTGCAGTTTCAGCAAGAAAACTACATTCATAAGGTTTTGTTGTTTCAGGGTTAAAAAAATACATTTGACAGCTTTTGCAGTATTAACATGAAAACCCTACATTCAAAACAACTTGCAGTTTGAGAGTTGACGTTCTATATCTACCAGAACTGCAACCTCTTGCAGTCTAAGTATGAAAGCCCTACATTCTCAAGTTCTTGTATTTTCACAATGATACATGTAGCCCTTTATCTGCAATTTTTGCAGTTTCAGTACAAACTCTTTCAGTTTCCCAATCTTAATTGTTTGCATTTTCAAATGAAAGCTCTGCAACTGCTGCAACCTCTTGCAGTTTTAGAGTTGAAGCATCACATCTGCAAGCTCTGATAGATGAAGTCCAACATCTGCAAGCTCTGGCAGTTGAACCCCTACATGACCAATCTTTGACAATGAAAGCCCCACTCTGCATTCTCTCAAAATTGAAGCCAACATCTACAAGCTCTGACAGTTTAAGCATTACTTCTGCAATGACCAACAATTCAAGCCCTACATCTGCGATGACTGACAATTGAAATGGACAATTATGATGGACAATTCAAGCTCTACATCTGCAATGATGGACAATTCAAGCCCTACATCTGCAATGATGGACAATTCAAGCCCTACATCTGCAATGATAAACAATTCAAGCCATACATCTGCAGTGACTGACAAAACAAGCTGTATATCTGCAAAGATGGACAAAACAGGCACTACATCTGCAATTACTGACAAAACAAGCCATATATCTGCAGTGACTGACAAAACAAGCTGTATATCTGCAAAGACTGACAAAACAGGCACTACATCTGCAATTACTGACAAAACAAGCCATACATCTGCAGTGACTGACAAAACAAGCTGTATATCTGCAAAGATGGACAAAAACAGGCACTACATCTGCAATTACTGACAAAACAAGCCATATATCTGCAATGACTGACAAAACAAGCCATATATCTGCAATGACTGACAAAACAGGCCCTACATCTGCAATGACTGACAAAAAAAAGCCATATACCTGCAGTGACTGACAAAAAAGCCCTATATCTGCAAAGATGGACAATACAAGCCCTACATCTGGAACAACTGACAATTCAAGTCCGACATCTGCAATGACTAACAATGGAAGTCCTTCATCTGCAATGACTGATAAAACAAGCCATATATCTGCAATGACTGACAATTCAAGCCCTACATCTGCAATGACTGACAAAACAAGCCATATATCTGCAATGACTGACAAAACAAGCCATATATCTGCAATGACTGATAAAACAGGCCCTACATCTGCAATGACTGACAAAAAAAGCCATATACCTGCAATGACTGACAAAACAAGCCCTATATCTGCAAAGATGGACAATACAAGCCCTACATCTGGAACAACTGACAATTCAAGCCCTACATTTGCAATGACTAACAATGGAAGCCCTACATCTGCAATGACTGACAAAACAAGCCATATATCTGCAATGACTGACAATTCAAGCCCTACATCTGCAATGACTGACAAAACAAGCCATATATCTGCAATGACTGACAAAACAGGCCATATATCTGCAATGACTGACA